TATAAACATAAACTGTTCTTTCGAAAGATCAGACGATAACCAACTGGCATGAGTGGGTAAGAGGAGGGTTGATTTCAGTCAAGACATGTAAGCAACCTTGCACATTTCCAGTACAGTATGTATAAGACTGAACCTTCCAAACTCTACTATCTTAAACCACACACACCGTTGCATGTGCCTAAATATGGAGAAGGGCCAGGGAATATATGGGTAATGTGGATGATATCTGTGATGGTGTTTGATTACTGTGCATTGTCTTTAGCAAATATGTCCTTTGTTATGCTACAAAGCTGGGTTTATGGAACTGGAAAATTCTCTGTATCCATTATAATGGAACAGAAACACTGAGACATATTCAGACACTCATGAACTTGGCAGAGTGGGGTTTTCCCACTTTCCTCTCATGTTGCAGTCAACTGGACTACTGGAACACACTCTATGCACTCTTGAAGACAATATGGAAGCTACAGCTGATGCAGACTGCAGCAGATAGAGTCTTGGGAGCTAACAACGATATATGTTGCAGTTTAAACTTGATATATGTTCATTTACGCATGTTAACTGTTTTAACTGCATATAGTTATATTTTGTAAGCTGCCTTGGGTATTGGGGGAAGTTAGTGTATAAATATTTTAAATGGTGGTGGAAAGTGCTGTCAAGTCACAGCTAGCTTATGATGATCCTATAGGGTTTTCAAGGCAGGAAATGAACAGAAGTCGTTTGCCATTGCTTGTCCCTGCGTAGCACTCTACACTTCCTTGGTGACCTCCCTTCAAGTACCAACCAGGGCCAACATTCAAAGCAATAAGGTAAATACAATATAAAAATAAATAACAGATATAAAATATTAATATTAAAATATGTGGCTATCACCGTACCACTATTAAAACAGCCCAAACAGGTTGTTAACCTCCAAAGGTCAACATAAACACAGCTTTGCATGCCAGCAGGGCACAGGTGTCATCTGAGGGTGCATTCCACAGGGTAGGTGCCACAACTGAGAAGGTCCTTTCCCTAGTGACAGCTAACTGAGCCATCTTGCGGACTGGCACCTGCAAGAGGCTCCTAGAGCATGGCCAAAGGGGATTGTAATGGGAGAGGTGTTAAATAGGTATGAGGTTCTCATACCCTTAAGGGCCTTAAAGGTTAATACCTTGAATTGGACCCAGAGATTTATTGGTAGCCAGAGCAACTGCTGCAGAATTGGAGTAATATGAGTTGACCATGATGTTTCAGTCAGCAACCTAGCAGCTGCATGCTGGACCACCTGCAGTTGCCAAAGTGTTTTCAAGGGTAGCCCTACACAGAGCAAATTGCAGTAGTCCAATCTGGATGTGACCGTTGCATGGATCAATGGGGCAAGGTCTGACCCAGGCAGATAAGAAGCCAGCTGGTGGACCTGGCATGGTGAAAAAAGGCTGACTACGCTACCATGGTCACTTGTTTATCCAGTGACAGTGCAGGATCCATCCATACTCTGAGACTCTTTACTGAGTCTACAGCTGTCAATTGGACACCTCTGAGTCTTGGGAATGACACTCCAGCTAGCATCTCAGTCTTTCCTGGCCACATGACCACCATCTTGGATGGATTCAACTTCAGCCAGCTTCCCCTTAACCATTGGACTACTGTATCGAGGCACTGGAATAGTGCCGAAAGCCCTGCTGTTGGATGCTTATCCAGCAGGAGGAATAGCTGAGCGTCATCAGCATATTGATGGCACCCAGCTCCAAACCTCCTGTGGGACCACACACTTCAAGTCGTTGGGAAATCCTCTCCTCTCCAGTAGCAACCCTCTGAAAGAGTCCCTGGGGGAATGAAGAAACCAACTAAGGGCAGTGCCCCTTACCCCCAGGGAGGCAAGGCAGTTGATCAAGAGTAAATGGTCAACTGTATCAAAGGCTGCTGATAAATCCAGAAGGATCAACGGGGTCAGCATGTCTTTATTCAGTATCAAAAGGAGACCTTCAACCAAAGTGACCAGTGCTGTCTCAGTCTGAAAGCCAGGCCTGAAGCCTGATTGAAAAGGATCCAGGTCAGTGTGAACTGCTGTTTATGGAGCTGCACCTGTGCTTTGGACTGGGCTTCCGGAGGCTTTGCAAAGCAGAACTCTTTTTTTGTTGCGCCTTCGGTAGCCCATGATCGAAAGCCATGGTTTGCTTCCTTTAATTTGTATTTTTGCTGTATCTGTATCTTTGATGTAAGTTACTTGGAGTCCTGGTCACTGGGAGGAAAGCGGGATATAAGTAAATAAACAGAACAAACATTAACTCCCCTATTTTGTTGCTAGGGGCCAGCAGACACCCCAGGAAAAAACGGGGCAAAGACTGTTGGGGTCTGCTGTGGGAAAGGTACTTGGGTGGAGTCACTGGGCCCTCTTCCAAAGACTTAGATGCCATTAAATCTTTGGAATGGTGTAGCTGGATACACATAACATCTTATGATCACTGATCAATACTACAAATCTGGATTGAGTAAGAGTGAGCTGGATTATAACAGTCTTCATTGGAGTGGCAACATCCTGGTGAAATCACAAGTACAAGGTCTAATACAGACATGGCATGTTCATGGAGAGGGTTAATAACTGTGTATACTGTATCTTCAACCCCAATTATTTTTAAAACCAAGATTGACCGTTGGAAGCTTTAAGTGGAAGACTGGTGATACAAGCCTTTCCCTCCTGCCGTTTTCACCATTCAAAACTGCCCAGTTCAACTATTCTTCTCTACATGAGGAAAACAGATACAAATGCCTATGGCTTTTTCTTCATGATGGGGGAAAATAGCTGTGG